TTTCTAGTGTGGATTTCGTCTGGATATATAATATTCTCCTAGTAGGTGGAGACATCATCCAGGCATGGGTATGACTCTGTCAGGATCCAGTCGGACTGGGTCTACAAGCTTTAAAGGCACGCCCATGAAGCTCCTCCTCCCATCTTAGACTCAGTTGATCCTTGGATTAGCTTTGTCTGTGTTTCTCTCCTGTCTAATTAAGTCGTTCTTAATCTAACTTTCTTCAAAAAACTTCTAAATTTCTTTAATTGGCTTCTTTCTTCAAATTTAACTCATTTGGCTTTTTATTCGGCTGATTGGAGGCTCATAGCCTTCTGAGGGCTTCAACCCTCCTCTATCTCGTGCTTGCCATTGTGCAGAGATTCAGCAGCGAGCCTACCAGGTTTCCCTCAGGCTCTAACATTTTTTTGACATCGCTGCAGCTGCGCCGCTTGAAAAACCACAGGAGATTGCTGTAGCCGCGCTGCCAGAGAAGCCACTGGAGCGCAGGGCATTTCGCACGCCACCGCTCGTGTTTGTCACCTCAGAGCAGCCCTTCGTTGGGTGAGCTGCCGAGGGACATAAATTCTTTCCGATCACCTTCTTCGCTCCGGTTAGCGATGTCGGCTTCTGGATTGACCATCAGGTGGCCATTTAATTAGCGAAATAGCCGACTTCTTGGTTCGCTCCCTCAGTCCTTCCTCAGGGCCCTATCTACTCTGGTGGCCATTTTGTTTTGGCGGGAAGCTGCGGCGACCATTTTAGGTGCTCTCCTCAACTGTGAGTAATGTCAATCAATGAGACCACTATTACACAGGGGGATAATCCACCTTCTCCAGCCATTATTTCTCCTTCAGTCCCTTCTGAGCATAGCAGCAAAAAAAAGAGCCACTGCTTCTCAGCCACCTACAACCAAGCCTGCTAAGGTCCCTAAGACTGTTCCATCTCACGAGGCCCCAAATGTAACTACCCCTGCTTCAGACAGTGACAAGGCCTCAGATTCTGTCCCATGAAAGGCCACATCTAAGACCAAGCATTGCACTGTTCCTATCTCTGCACTACTGGTTTCTCTTCAAGTAATGATCAATCCTCCTGAAGAGCTCTCTACTGATACTGATGGGGATATCTCCACTCCTGTTTCTCCCTTGAACCCTGAGGATGGGATTGGCTTTCATGGGGAGTATGATTCCGAAGAGGATGGTAGTGTCACCCCGGATATAGATGTGGTTTCTCCATCCCCCAGACCTATTACTGTCAATCCTAATGATATGGCTGACATCATAGCAGCGGCTATTGAACGAGGGATTGCTGCAGCCCTTCAACATCGGGGCCCTGCTGCTACCACCCCTCAGTGTTCTAATAAGTCAAACAAGGGCCACTCCTCCCATTCTAAAGGGACTGCTGCTGGAAGTACTCCTCAGCCTTCTGCTGCTGAATCTGAGGAACAGGTAACCCATGATTCCGATCTTTTGGAAGATGAGGACTTGACTCCTGCCCCTTTGGCCTTAGTGGGTCTATTCAAACCTGCCCTGTTTCGCTCCCTCTTATTCAAGGCCAAAAAGGTCTCTGGCATTCCGGCCTCCAAACCATCCTCGACTACAGAGGTTGACAAGTCTGACCCCACAGATCCACTCTTTTCATGCCTACCTGTCGAAAAGGATGTGGTTCCTTCCCCAAAACTGTTCTTGGAACTAATTCAAAATCAGTGGGCATCTCCGGGGGCGGGACCTCTCCCTTCTACACTGGACAAACAATTGTACAATGTCAATCCAGAGCTCTCTTAAGCTTTTGGAAGTCCCTTCCATCAACCTACCTGTGGTTTCTCTTTTGTCGCTTAATGCAGCCTCTAATGCTCCAGAAGACACTCTTTGTCCTGAGGACAAACGTTTTGAACACTCGTTAGTTAAAGGACATCAGTCATCTGCATGGGCTGTTCGGGCTGCCTCTTCTGCCTCTTTTTTCAACAGGGTGGCTCTCAGTTGGCTGAAGTAGCTGCAGAACAGAATTCCTCCTGCTGATTCCTGTGCTCATCAGGACATCAACAAGCTCAAAGCAGCTATGGAATATGCGGTGGATGCTTCTCTGGATATGACTCGTTTTTCCTCCAAGATAATGGCGTCATTAGTCACCACAAAGTGTCTTTTATGGCTGAAACAATGACAAGCAGAGGCCAGAGCAAAGTGGCATTTAGCTTCTTCTCCTGGTCTCCTCTTTGGCCTGTCTTTGGAACTTCTCTTAGTAGAGTCCAAGGACAAGCGAAAGATGATTCCTTCTGCCAGTTGCAAAACAAATTCTAAACCCTCTTCTTTTTTCCATAGGTCGTCCTTTCGAGGGACGGCCGGGGGATTTGCCTACCCCCATCCTCAACACCAGGCTCCCCCAAGACAGGGTCCTTTGTCTCAGGACAGATCCAGCAGAAATTCCCAGCGTTTCTCCTACAGAAAGCCCTTCAAGGGCAGCTCCAACCGTTCCTTCTGAAAGCAGAAATAATTCCATCGGGGACCTCCCAATTGGGGGCCGTCTTTCGGCCTTCGCCGATCGTTGGGACGACATCACCAACGATGCCTGGATCAGGCATATCATCCGATTTGGCCTTGCCCTGGAGTTTCTCTCCAGTCCCCGCAGACTTTTGTACTATGTCCGGTTTCTAGAGACATTACCAAAAGACATCTGGTCGAACTCGCAATTGGCCATCTCCTCCAAATTCAGGCCATTGAGGAGGTGCCCTCTGATCTTTGTGGGCAGGTTTTTTATTCCCGTCTCTTTATAGTGCCTAAGTCTTCGGGGGGTTGGAGGACAATCCTCGACCTCCAATTTCTAAACAAATTTATAGTTTACAGGAGGTTTAAAATGCATTCTCTGCTATACATCTTGGAGACCATTCGGCCTAATGACCTCCTCTCCTCGGTGGACCTAACAGAGGCATACCTCCATATTCCTATTTTCCCAGATCACAGGAAATTCCTCTGTTTCTCCTATGCGGGGAATTATTTTCAATACCATTTGGCTTGTCCTCTGCCCCGAGGGTCTTTACCAAAATCCTGGCTGCGCTGGCTGCCCATCTTAGAACTATGCCGGTCAGAATTCTCTGTTACCTTGATGATATTTTGTTGCTATCCAGACCCCCGCACCAAGCACACAGAGACGTCCATATTACTCTTCAGACACTGGAAGAACACGGATTTCTGGTTAACTTGAAAAAAAGTCATCTGCAACTCACGACCCGCCTCACGCACCTAGGGGCAGTGATAGACACCTCTCTGGAACAGGTCTTCTTATCACCAGAAAGGCAGGTGAGCATTCGCAATCTAGTCTCATCCATCAGAGGCACCCGAAGATTCCTCTCATCCACAACTCATGTCACAACTCCTGGGAAAAATGGTGTCCACTTTCAACATCGTTCCATGGGCCAGGTTCCATAGTCACCTATTTCAATAGTTTCTGCTACCATATCAAAAGACAGACTGCAGTTGCTCGATGCACAAGGTTGATCTCAGAGGTAAGCCGGTCCCTCCGCTGATGGCTCTCTCCTGCCTTGGAATAGTGCTCTCATAACCACCGCCAAAGCGCACATAAATCGGCAAGGTGGAGGGGGGACGAGATCCCGATGTCTAATGACTTTGTCTTTCCAACTGGGGTCCTGGTCGGAGACCCACCTATTGTCAATCTGGGCCGAGCACATCTTGGTCCAGAACACTCAGGCAGACGACCTCAGCCGCATGCACATCGACCCAGCAGAGTGGAGCCTGCATCGGCGAATCTTTCAACAATTGACGGTTAGGTATGGCCTTCCAGTTCTCAATTCTTTGCGTCCCAGAGCAACAATCAACTGCCAAGGTATTTTGCGTGCTATGCGACACTAGGGGCAGAGGGCGTCAACGCTCTGAGATGCGAGTGGCCTCCAGGCCTTCGGTATGCTTTCCCCCCAACTCCTCTCATACAGTGGGTACTACAGAAAATGCTGATAGAGGAGGCGGAACTTATCCTGATCGCTCCTCGCTGGCCCTGCAGACCTTGATTTGCTGACCTACTGAAACTTTCGGTAGCTCCTCCATGGCAACTTCCCCAGTTTCCCTCTCTGCTCCTTCAGGGGTCGTTCTAACATCCTGACCTTCCTTGGTTACGACTAACTGCCTGGAGATTGAGCGGGGGCTCTAAGGACTGCCAATCTATCCACAGATGTTATTCACACAGTTCAGGCTTCCAGGCGCTCTTCTATTAACCGCATTTACGATGCCACTTGGATGCAGTTCTCTGGTGCTATCGGAAGGACATTGTTCCCTTGCAGGCTTCTATCCCTAATATTCTCCAGTTCCTGCAACGAGGGCTAGATCTAGGACTCTTGCCAAACACTCTCCATCGCCAGGTTGCGGCCCTGGCTTCCGTCCTATCATTAGGTTCCACTCAGCCCCTTTCTCATGACCCGCTTATCTGTCACTTTTTGAGAATGCCACAAACATCAAACCACCGACAATATACAGGTTCCCGACTTGGGATTTATCCAAAATCCTGGACACTTTGACTCAGACTCCTTTGGAGCCTTTAAATTCTGTGTCCTTATATGACTTAACCTTAAAAGTGGTTTTTTTTGTAGCCATAATCTCGGCGAGGCGTATTTCCGAGTTGGCGGCATTGTCAATCAGACAGGATTTATGCATCTTGCATCCAGATAAGGTCGTTCTCCACCTTGATCCAGCTTTTGTGCCTTAGGTAAATTCTGTATGCTTCTGGTGCTTCTCGACTTTTGCCTTCAACCATCTCATCGACTGGCACGTAAGTGGCATTACCTTGATGTGCGACGTGCTCTGCCCGTTTATATTAAATGAACTGCTGTTTTCGGACGGTCTGAGGCTCTGTTTGTGAAATTCCAACCAGGAGATAAGAAAGGCTCCAAGGCCTCTTCTTCTGACATTGGTCGTTGGGTATGAGCTGCTATTTCTAGAGCCTACTCCGCTCTCTCCCTGCCTGTTCCACCCAATATCACGGCACACTCCATCCACAGTGCGGCCACCTCTGCTGCCTGGTCATCTCAAGCTTCATTAGAGGAAATTTGCCGGGTGGCCACGTGGACTACTATATCTCAGTTTATCTGCCACTACAGGCTCGACAGATATGCCTCAGCTGACGTTTCATTCGGCCGGCGCGTGTTGCAGTGAGTGGTCTCTACTTAGGCTTCTTAAATTCTATTCAGGACCCTCCTGATGGGACAGATTGGGCTTCGGTATGTCCCATGCCTGGATGAAGTCTCCACCTACTAGGAGAATGGGCATTGGTTACTTACCTGATACGCCCTTTCTCGGGACGGTGGAGACATCATCCAGCCTCACCCTTTTTGTATGCCTTACTCCTTGAATTTTCTCTGTTCTTGCCTTGAGAGATAATCTCTATCATCTGAGACTGTTTACACATTGGTCTACAAGTCACGCCTTCATCTAGCGTGCCTTTAAAGCTTGTAGACCCAGTCCGATTGGATCCTGACGGAGTCATACCCATGCCTGGATGATGTCTCCACTGTACCGAGAAAGGGCGTATCAGGTAAGTAACCAACGCCCAATTCAAAACCTTCCACTTTTGAGTTCAGGGGCTTTTTTTAGAATTCTACTCCTTATATGTATAGCTTTTTCCAATTTGAACCATGTCTATGTGTGAACTTTGTAAGTTGGTCCATGACTGTAATAAAGATACTCTACTAGTAGTTTGAGTAAATTACTACTAGTTTCAATAAACAATTTTACTTTTGTATATTACACATTTGTTACTTAGACATAGAGTTTATTAAAATAACCTTGGGTTCTTTAAAGGTATCAGTCAAACAAGATCATTATTTTCTGTTCCTCTGGATGTGATGGATACGCTAAAATGTTTTAGAGAAACACTGGAAAAATCAAAGAACCACAGTAGAGCCCTTAAATACAGCAGGAAATTGCTTTCTTTATTTCTTGCTCATGTGCGAGGTGAGTACCTCTCAGTAGAAATCGGATGTATATATAACTGTAAATAAACTGTAAAAAGTCAAATATTGAAAAAAAATGTGTGCATATGTGTGTTAAGTATGAATACACACACACACAAACAGGAGAGAGAGAGAGAGAGAGAGAGAGAGAGAGAGAGAGAGAGAGATTGAGAGAGAGAGAGATTTGATTTTAGAATGTTTTAATTTTTTGACAATTCTATTTAAACATTCCACACTATCTAATAATTATTAGAATTGTAATAAAACTTTAGCTACATGCTATTGTGTATATATGTCTGATGAATTAATTTTCATATTGATATAAGAAGCAAACTGAAGTATTTCTAATAATAATATAGTAAAAATATGTACCATCCTATTTACTACATGTTTATATAAATTATATTGGCACAATTTGAAATTAAGAACCCCAAAGAAATCAGGTTTTTTTTCAGCTCTCCTTTAAAAACAGCATGGCAATAAATGCCTAAAATGAGAAATATAACTTCCAAAAGTTTAAAATTTGCTTAACCTGATTGAATTAGCAGTTTTCTCCAAAAACCAATTTCTTAGGTATTGGCTGATATGCATAGGAACAAAGCAGTTTAGTAAATCGGTTTATATTTGTTGTATATGTTCCTGAAAGATATAACCAAATGCCATTCCATCAGTAGAATGGCAGAGTCTTATATAATTATATCTCTCAGACTCGTTTACAAAAACACTTTAAAGTTTATAATTCCTCAAGTAATGTTTTACAAAAATATCAGGTAAATTTTGACTTTTTATAAAGGGAATTTTTTGGTAATGGTATTATTTGAAAATTTTAAGTTTAAAAATTTCATTGCTTTTTTCAAGTAATAAACTCAACCTTCTTAAATAACAGGGATAAGGTACTGGTAAAAGAGCCAGACAAGAGATCTCTAAGAACTGTTCGAAAAATGATTGAAGCATATTATGTAAAGAAAAAACATTGCACCTACATCCAGGAATTCTTGTGTAATTTATGTATGCGCACAAATCACTTCCTCTTCACTGTGATATTATTGCAAGGTTCTTCCAGACACATAATCTAAAAAATAGCACAAAAAATAACATAGCCACTACCAATCATTCCATTTCCATTCTGTCCCATAATGTTCAACCCATTGTATCTGTCCTAACAATGATTCAGCCTAGACCAAATATATGGCCTGATACAGAGGTGGGTTCCTACCAGTTCGGACCGGTTCGGCCGAATAGGTAGTAACTTGGTCTGTTATGCCCCCAAACTGGTTCTCTCTGTGGCACTGTAAGTGGTGCTATCTTGTTTTTTAGTACTGTGCATGGGTGTGTAGCATGCATCAAGTGCACATGCACAGTGGATCCCTGAATAAACTGGCAGTAGCAGCAGCTGGAACCACCCCTGGCCTGATAGGAAAAAATGTCAAGAAGGGCCTCTTTTTACCCAAGCCTAGAAGAATGTAGCTCTCTGGAGGTGGTAGAGCTGGACTGAAGGCTGTTGAATGCAGTTGTTGCTCTGCACACTTTTGAACATCAAATCTGTAAAGGTTGTTGAAAATGTTCATAATCGTGGGACTTTAGTTATTTCTGATGGAATTTAATGGGGCTCCATCATTTTTTCTTCCAGCTGATTTTGAAAAATTACTTTTTACTTTATTCCATTGGTTAATGTAAATCATGAATATAACAATGGTATATTATCTGTTCCAAACATGAGAAAAAGAAAGGAAATTTGTGTGAGGGAAGAGAAGACCTAGGAAAGGGAACATTTGATAGTATAGATGTTTTCTAGTGCCTTAAATTTAATTAAAATCAGCTGTATGTTGTAAAATATATTTACTTTCAGTACGAATCTCTCTGGAATAATAGTATAATATAATATATTACACTCAGAATCTCTAATCTGTAAGGGCTGCTAAGATGTTTTCATTAAATCTACTTTATAAAACAAGACTCTTCTGGAAGATTAAATACAGAAATATATGCAAACCAGAAGATTTCACATGGAAAAGTAGCATTTGCTATGGGAGCTGAGTTGACGTATGAACCAGAACCACCTGATCTTTCAGAAGAAAGTTTTACTTGCCTCAGCATGATTGAGAGCAACTCCATTCCCCTGTCAAAAGTCCCAGTAGTGATCTCTTCATATGAACAAACAATTGGTAAGTTTATAATCCATTCTATTTCGTACATTGAATTATCGTGTGATCTGATAGGAAATTTGAACACATGTGCTTGCAGAAATGTATTATTTTAAATAGTTCAGAGAGAGGAAAAGAGTGAGGAGCTGGTGTTTCAGTGGACTGCTGTTGGAGTTCTAGTAGACACAAAGAAATAACCTTGCTTTCCTTTTTTCTCTCTGATGAGAGAGAAATTGAATAGCTATTGCTAAGATTAATCTAACAGTAGTTAATAGACAGAGAGAATAGGCTTCCCAGCAAAATCACTACAAACTGTATGTAGTTCTAGTGGTATGCAAAATATTGCCAGTTCAACCAGTTTTAAAATTCTAAGAAACAGTTACTTACAGTGTAAAGCACTGAATTCACTCATTGTGGAATTGTTTCAGGAATACAAAACTGTTTCAAGCTTAAAAAAGCTTCTGCAATTACTGAAACAATACCGTTTTATTTCAAGAGGAGATGTAGGAGATAATAGGCTGAGCCTGAGGGATGGGTCAAATACATCATCAGTCATGAATCCTTTCGTGCCCATAACAGATCTAAGTCCAGCCTAACTTGAATTTCTTTTTATTCTTAACTCCTGCTAATTTCCTTTGACTATAAGTAGTTTGTATTCTTGTAGAGAGAGTATGCTTACAATAAATCTTTGTACGCATTTGAACTTCCTGGATCTCCTGATTTCTCTGATGCTGACATTAATCTGAATTTAGGTCTCTTGTGGGCACAAAAGGACTCATGACTGATGATGCTTTTGACTCCCTCCCTCCGGCTCAGTGTCATTTCCTACAATTTTTTTTCCCATATTGTACACTATTTTTGCATTTTGAATGCAAAAATAATTGGCTTTAAAATAGTTTGTAACCTGGTATTACAGAAATGTCAAGAAATTAAAAAAAAAGAAAAATAAAAGAAAAATGCTAACGCAGATTTGTAATAGTACCCAGACTCAAATACATTGATTTGGAAGTATGATGAGCCCTAACTCCAATCTCATTTTGGGAAGCCTTGAAGACCACTTTATTTCAACAGGCCTTTGACCCATAGGGTGATTGTGGCAAATGTTAGTTTATTATTGTTTTACTTGTGGGTGGAGTGTTAAAAATGTATTTTAGAAATGTGTTTTGTACTACCATGAGCTTTCTAATTGGATAGTATACTAAAATGGTAGACTAATTAATATAGAAAAACACAGCAATTTATTTTAAACCAGTCATGTTAAGTTTCTTTCTCTAAATATATTTACTATTAAATATTGAAAATTTCAAAATTTATGAAAAACAGAAACTCTTCAAAGAAACAATCAGCATGGTCTCATAGTCCAGGCTTTTCATGAACTTGGAAATCTGCACTTTTTCACAGGAAGCAAAAGGTATTAGCATTCTTACATTTTCTATATCAATCTACACCTTGTAAAATTAATAAAATGTATAAGCATTGTAGAGAAATCAATGGGGCGTACAAAGTCACAATTTTCATTAGAATTATAACAATAGGTTTCATTCTTCGAAATTCCTCTTTGTCTTTTCTTCCATTCTGTTTTGTTCATTCCTTTGAAGGAGTGAAATTAAAAAAATAAAATAAAATAAAATTACTACTAATTTCTTACTCTCCTTATTTGATTTTTGTTTGTGTGTTTTTTCCTAATTAGTTAACTAGTTGGACTATACCGATAGAAAAGAATATTTGTAGCTCAGGATTGAACTGTGGGGTTCTTGGTGCTCTCTGATCTTGGTTGTTTTCCTGCAGATCTCTATGGTCATTCTCAATTATCCCGGTCATGATTGTCCCAAAAGGCGACCTTAGTTTTTGTTAAAAAATCTTTTGCTTCTCATCCATTTGTGAAGTGGTTATTTTGTTTCTCCAATGCACAGTTCTGCACATGTCTCACTGATTGTATTGCATATATCACAGTTTGTTTCTTGTTTTATCTTTGGGGTGGACAAGCTTCTACTTTAGTGTATTCATGGGTTTAAAGTGTGCATGCATGTTATATTGGTTGAAAATCCTCCCTGAGATTTTCAGGTATTTCTGCAATTTATGGAATGACAACTTTGCTTCATTTGTTGTTTTCCTCATTGTCTATTATGGAGGAGCTCCTGCTGAATATTTTTCTGGGCCTAGTTGGGATAGCCACAAGTTCTGAGGGCTTCCTTTGTGTATTTTAGTTCTTCTTTTCCTTTTTTTCTGGCAGGCAAACCTCCAGCCTGGTGGTATAGAGTTCTGATCACTCCTATTTTGTGCTCCAGTGAGTGATGAGAATCAAAATAGTCAAAATACTGATCTCTGTGTGGGAATATTCTATATATTTTAATGTTGAGACTTCTGCCTCCCTTAAAATGTATTTCACAGTCCAAGAAAGTCAGACTATTTTCTTCAACATTTTCCAGTACTTGAACCCAGAGGCTTCCCTTTCCTGTGCTTTAATCTTAATCCAAGTATCTTCCACATACATATACCATGAATGGATAGAATTCCTGTAAAAGAGTTTAAGGGTTTGGTATCTACCTCTTCTATGTAGAAATTAGCCACAATGGACCACACAAATGACCCCATAATGTAGTCATGCTTTTATCTGTAGAAATTCAGCATGGCACATATGTAGTCTGTGATGAGATTACTTCTAACAACTAATGTGCTGTCTTGTAGCAGTTGTTTCTTCGTTACTGTGACAGCTTCGATTGTTGGAATGAAGGTGAAGAGTGAAGTCACATCATAAGAAACCATAGTCTCATCCACACCGAGTTTTAGTTTCCAACCTTGTTGACAAAGTCCTGTGTGTCATTGATATGATGGGTAGTGTTGGTTATGAGAGAAGCTAATAAAGTGATTAGATGATTCGAAAAAATGTAGGTGATCGAGTTGATGTCGCTGACAATTGGTCTGAGTGGCGTTCCCTCTTTGTGGATTTGGGGGAGTCCATGTATGCATGGAGTGGCTTCCCCAGGGTAAAAGGAAGTAGTATTGTGGCTTGTTAATGGCCTGGTCCTTCAGTAGAAATTGATGACCTTTTTACAAAAATAACTGCTTGATTACAATTGGTGGCCAAGTGCCCTATGATCATGTGATGATAATTTGCAGTCTTTTCTGCCAGCTTCCAAAGAAAGTCAGTAGGAAAGCTGGGAGGGAAAGTTGCAAATTGTTACTGCCTGCTAAATGATATCTCCTTCCCTCCATGCATGGAGTGCGGTGACTTGCACCATCAGCTTGGTGCTCCAGTTTGCCACTGCCAACTCACCTCTTTCAACTTGCTGCAGGACAAATCCACATGGACAACTCACTGTGGGACAACTTGCTGCAAGGACAACTTGCCACAAGTGGCTAGAGGGAGAGGCAGGTGGGTGATCGAGTAGGTGGGAAGAGTGCAGAGCGCGTAGATGCAGATGGTGAGGAGTAGTGATGGCTGGGGGCTTATCCCACCACTGCCACCATATTGGACTCAGAGTTGCTGCTGCTGTCTTGCCAGGCTCCACACCTGGCATGCCAGCAGAAACAGCAGCTATGTACCCAATGTGGTAGCAGCAGCAGCAATGGCTTCATGCACAGCATGGTGGCAGCATCACCAGCAGCTCCATGCTTGATGTGGTGGCAGCATCAGTAGCTGTGATTCTACACCTGACATGATAGCAGCATCAACAGTGGTATCTTCACACTTGGCACGGTGGTGGTATCAGCTGTAGGTCTGTGTAAAAACAAGAGGTGTGAAGATGGAAAAAAACCCACTGATTTCCCTGATATGCTCTGTGCTCTGTCCACTCGCCTACCTGCCCACCTCACCTGCAGTGAGTTGTCCCCACAGTGGTTGGCTGTGTGGAGTTGTGCAGCAATTTCATGGCGGTGAGTTGTCAGAGGCAAATTGACGGTGGCAAGCTGGTGGCAGTGAACTAGCCATGGCAAGCTGGTGGCAACAAGTTATCCTAGACTCGTGATAGTGAACCTATGGCATGTGTGCCACAGGTGGCACGCAGAGCAATTTCTGAGGGCAGGCGAGACATTGCCCTGTCAGCTCCAGTGCGCATGCGTGCGCTGGCCAGCTGATTTTCAGTCTTTTTGGGGGGCGGTTTTTCATGTTCAAGAGGCTTCCCTGAAGCCTCCAGAGGGTGAAAAACCGCCCAATGCAAAAAACGGAAGATCGGAAACAGACTTCCAGTTTGCCCGTTGGACTGTTTTTCGCTCTCCAGAGGCTTCAGGAAGCCTCTGGAAGGAGAAAAACGGTCCAATGGGCAACCTGGAAGTCCGTTCCCGAACTTCCGGTTTGCCTGTTGGGCTGTTTTTTGCCCTCCCCAGGCTACTAGAAAGCCTCTGGAGCCTGGGGATGGTAAAAAATGGATCTACTGGGCTCACTGGAAATTGGAAAATGGCCTCTGAGGGACATACGGGAAGTCAGGGGAGGCCATTTTCACCCTTCCTGGCCTCCAAGAAAGCCCTGAATGCATGCTCTGGGCAGTTGGGGGGGGGGTGTCATGGCAACCGAGGTGAAAAACGTTTGCTATTACTGTCCTAGACTCCCATTCACGTGGGGTCAGGAACTGACATACTTCACTGAGCTGCAGAAATGAAGTTTGGATTTTTGGGATCCCTACTTAGTTTCTGCATCCAAGGACAGGAGTTCACCTCTCCTTCATTTGCAGAAGGGAACTCCTGCACTGCACTGGAGAAATGAAGCAGGGATCTTAAGATCCAAGCCTTGTTTCTACAGCTGTGCACAGGAATTCCCTTTCATGCACAGAAAGGAGCTTCCTGCCTTTCTTCAGTCGGTAGCTCTTTCGCTCTAATGACCCTCATGGTTGCTTAACCAACGCTACTGGAGAGCCAGGATCACAGCCCTTGAGTGAAGCAGTCATGTGGGCATCACATTTAACAATAACTTCACTCATCACTGAGATTCCAGGCCACAATTTTACAACAATATAAAGGACTATGTGTACTTTATTTGCTTTCTATCATTTTCTAATTCATTGCATTTAACTATAGACATATGCAAAATAAAATATTATCTTTTTACCTTCCATTTGAATATCAGTAATGTAAGTTCTAATGTATCTCAGAATTGCTTTCAAATGCTGGTGTCAGGGCCTTGATGCAGCTCTCAAAATGGATAATGCACTTCATCAGTGGCAAGAATTAGATGACTCATCAGAGAAAACTATTGGTAACTTGTCAAAAACATCTCAAGTTTACTCTGAGAAATTTATTTCTCGGGCTGGAATTTGGGGTTGCCTACAAGGAGCCAATTTAGCAGCTAAAATAGCTCAGTGAGTATTTTTTCCTATTTGCTAATCTACAATTCATTTTTTTTTACTTAATGATTTAATTTCATAGGAATTCAGACCAATGATTCATACATATTATGTTTATTATGAACACGGCTTTCTCTGTTCCAACTAAAAAAGTTATCTTATAATCCTACTTCATGTTATATTCCTATTGTATCTTTGCATTGTTACATGATTTTATACAAATACGTGGTAGGCAGAATAACAAAAAAAATTTACATGTTAAATTAACATCTTGGATTTCCATTACAAAGAAATATAGTAAATTTGGAACTATAAATGATAAATTTGGAACTATAACTGGTAAATTGAAACAGACTTCGGATATAGCTGAAGTCCTTAGAACCATTAAATAAAATAAATGTGATAAACATATAGTTCTCGCTTACATGCTGACCATTCAAAATTATTTAAAAAGGTAAAGGAGTCCCTGCAGAATTTACTTGATTAGTCATTGCCACTATAAGGGCATTTCATTTCATTTCCATTTTTCTCCAATTTGCAGTTGTTACATGTTGCAATTACCGTTGCAGTAAGTTGCAATCCCTTAGCAATTCTGTACATTGTATTCAGATATCTTAATTAATAGAAATTACTGTGCATTCAGAAAGTATTCAGACCCCCTTCACTTTTGTCAATTCTGTTTTGCTATGGTCTGATTCTACAGTTGTTGAAATTCATTTTTTTCTCATTAATCTACATTCAGTTCCCCATAATGACAAAGTGAACACAGAATTTTAGAAATGTCTGTAAATTTGTTAAAAAGAAAAAAAACTGAAATACCACATTGGCATAAATATTCAGACCCTTCATGCAGTACTTCATGCACCTTTGGCAGCAATTACGGCACTGTAAATGAAACCAACATACTGACCAATTTTATACATCAATGTCTGATGGAATGTGTGACAAAAATATCTTTATTTGAAAGCTCAAAAATTTATTTTGGTATTGTAAATCAGGCCCAAACTTCACTGCTTAACTATATTGCTTGCTTTTTGCATTTAGGCATTCATTACAGTATAATATTAAGCTAAGAACCAAAACCTGCATTTTATCTGCTATCCTCTTCAAGGTAATTAATATATGTATTAATATTAGACATTATATAGTAATCTGTAGATAAACTTTTGTTATTGAATTGTAAATAGAAAATTATGCTGTGATATAGTGAATGTGTATGCATATAGATGATTGGTGTTTTTATTGTAAGCCCACATAATTTGTTTGTTTGTTTGTTTACTTACTTATTTATATATTATGGAAAAGTTGGAGAGTATTTTGATATCAAATAACATTAATTTGTAATCATTATGGAGCTATATTAGAGATAAATTGGTTATCATAATTCTTATGCACATATGTCTTAAGAAATATGCTTTCATTTATACATGCAAAATCAAGAGACAAGCCAGTTGAAGGAAACAGCCAGTAGTACCTTATTAGAGAAGAAATAGCAGTTAGACTTAGACTTATATACCACTCCAAAGGGCTTTCAGCCCTCTCTAAGCGGTTTACAGAGTCAGCATATCGCCCCCAACAATCTGGGTCCTCATTTTACCCACCTTGGAAGGATGGAAGGCTGAGTCAACCCTGAGCCGGTGAGATTTGAACCGCTGAACTGCTGAACTAGTAGTCAGCTGAAGTGGCCTGCAGTACTGCACTCTACCCACTGCGCCACCTCGGCTCTAGAAAGCAGAAAGAAATGTAGAATGCTTTATAATTCCACCAACATTAGTATTTTCAAAACAAATAATGCAGAATACTTGCTCAGTATTTTGCTTTATAGTGCAGTATATACTTTTCAGTCCATTGCAAGATTGGTGTGGTGTGGGGGCGGTGTGAGTGGCAGACAAATGCACTTTGCAAAACACTTCTTTCAAATGATTTGAAGCCCCCTAGTAGAAATTTAATATATTTTTTAAACTAAATAGTTGTTTTAACTGATTACTGTTTAAAAACTTATTTCATCTCATATTTAGTTAATAAAAAGAGTTTATAATTGGAAAGTAAAGCAATCTTGCAAAGTGCCTTGGTCCTGTTTATTGTAGGCTGAGTATTATATTTGGTTTCATCTTAGGAGTTTGAAACATTAGAAATTAATTAAATGTGCTTATACCTGTATGGAGCTTGAATGTTGTTATTATTCTGTGTTTCAGTCTTTGTTTAGAGCCTCACTACCACATCCTAAAGCTGATTGTGACTTTGCACAATACGAAACAGACATATTAATTCCTGGCATTGATTTATTTGTTGATTACTATAGAGCTGATATTGCAACAGTTATTGCAAATCTCACATTTGTTCTGCATGAATTGCATTGCAGAAGGCAAAATCTAATAGTAAGTATTATAATGGATATAGTAATTATTTATACTTGTTAGAGGTATAATTTATAATATTAATTAACATGTTTTTTTCACTCTTAACTATATGGGACCAGTCAATACATACAGTTATGCATATTTTTAGTTATATAACTGATCCTACAGTTGCTTGCTTAGAACAAGGACACTTGTTAAATACATTTACAAATAAAGTTGCATGTTTAAACATAAATCATACACTTCATAAAATTTGTCATATAAGAATACATTTTGTCTAATATGTTCTTAAACTGATTTTCCTACCCATTCCCCTATTTGTATATAGTCTCAGCAAATTGATCTATCTGGGTTGGGAGGCTAAGCAGGGTTAGACCTGTTTAGTTTTAGGGCAAAATACCAGAATTGTAAGCTACACTGGGACATTAAAAAGAGGAGGAGGAGGAGATGTGAAGATACTTCATGGAAATATTACTTCCTATTACTTAACTTAAAATTTACTAAATTAGCTTTCTAATTTTAGTTTTACTTTAATTCTAAAATAGTTTTGGCAGAGGTTTTTTTTTCCCAGTTTTGACTTACAACAGATTAAATTTAAGGTTTGCTGCATATAAAGCATTTTTTCTTATCACCAAGCCACTGTACTGGAATTATTGCATTAAATATTATTTCAGTTGAGGTATCTTCTCTACATCTTTGAAAATTCTGATGAGCTTTGCACAGTAGCAAAATGCCTTGCTGAACAATCTGCACAGGTCCATTATTCATGTTTTGGATTGCATATTGTTTGAACTGTGCCACAAAGGGTGAAGAAAATTACATGTACATGTAAATAAATATTTATAGAGTTGTCCTATTTTTTTATTTTTTTATTTTGCAGATTTTGCCATTGTTCACATTATATCAGTACTTTGTGTCAGAAATTTGCCGGAATGAAATTAAGTGTTTTGAAGGAAGAATTTTAAAGGTAAATGTACCAAAAATTATTTTATTAAAAATAATTTAATGCAACTAGGTTATTCTGCCATTTCATGCGGCCCAAGTTTTGGGTCTTGGGCCGCAGAACAAGCCCAAATCATCATGCGTCCACCACTGTGCTTGACAGTTGGCATAAGATTTTTGTTGATATGCTATGTTTGGGTTTTGCTAAACCAAACTATGCATTATGGCCAAACATCTCCATTTTGGTCTTGTCTGTCCAAAGGATTGTTCCATAATGTTGTGATTTGCTCAGATTTAACTTTGCAAACCTAAGCCTGCTGCCATGTTCTTTTTAGAGAGAAGAGGCTTTCTCCTAGCAACCCTTCCAAATAAACCATACTTGTTCAATATTTTTCTAATTGTACTGTCATGAACTTTAACATTAATATGCTAACTGAGGCCTATAGAGTCTGAAATATAACTTTGGATTTTTTACAATTTTTCTGAGCATTGCATGGTCTTGATCTTGGAGTGAATTTGCTGGGATACTCATTCCTGGAAAAATTGACAGTTGGTTTCCCACTTGAGCAGGGGGGGTTGGACTAGAAGACCTCCAGGGTCCCTTCCAATTCTGTTATTCTATTTTATCTAGATGGTTTTTTATTGTTTTGTACAGACTAAATGGAAGGATTACGTTGCTTTGTTTATTTGTTGAATTTTAGTGTGTACCTTCTGCATGAATTTTCAGACTCTATTATTTTAGCTTGTTTGTGGAGTGTTGCTGGCAGATAACTAATATGGAATTGTACACTGTGCATTCGTGCATTAGTAAGAGAAAAGACTACAAGCGGATAGCCAGAAAAATATATTCTTTGCTATTGTTGCTGTTCATAAACTGTGCTGAATCTTTCCTGGGCTAGAACAGTTATTTATAGAAGTAAACTAGAAAAGATATGTTTTGCTGTTGATAAGCTGCTACTGGCTATGGCAAGAAAATTTTTTCCTTTTATGTGCATACTCCTATATTATTTATTTTATAATACAGAAAATACATGAGTTTTGACAAAATTTATAGTGAAGTTCTAGGATATTGTCAGAGCTACAAGTTAGAACTAAAATTTGCACCTTGTTTTCAGAGTGGAACTCATCCATATAAAATATGAATAATCATCACATTTTAAATTGTAGGGGATTGCAGGGACTTATTTATAATGTGGTGCTGTTCTCCAGCAAACAGTTTTATGCCATTGCATAATGCATAACCAAACATGTACAATTTTGCTTTGAATGATAGTAATAGGGAATAGCTTTTCACAGTTCTTTAATAACCTGAGAATAATAACATAGCATGATGATATCACTAGCATTAGCACTAAAACTTAGACTTATATACCGTTCCACAGTGCTTTATAGCACTCTCTGAACAGTTTACAAATGTCACCATATTGTCTCCAACCATCTGGATCCCCATTTTACTGAGCCCTGAAGGATGGAAGGCTCAGTTAATCTTCAGCTGGTTAGGATCAAATTCCTGGCTATGGGCAGAGTTAGCATGCAATACTGCATTCTAACCACTGTGCCACCATGGTTCATTGAAATACTTGTTACAATTTGTTTAATTCTATCATGATTTCTTTTGGAAATTATCTATGAGAAGAAACTGAACCACCAATAATTATTTTAAGACTAATTCCACAGCTAAGAAAATCAATTACACAGTATTATTGGCTCTCCATGCTCAGGGAAGTTTCTATAGTTTAAGAAATAGCTTCTAGTGTTGCAAACATACATATACAGTACATGAATGTTAATTAGTTATTATTTTTATTCTTAGATGAAAGTCCTTACAGATTTGGGATTTTTCTCTGATGCCTTTCATGAACTCTGTATTATTAATCGTGGTGATAAAATTCCTTGGAGATTGCCTTCCGTATACAAACGTACTATAAAAGTTTGGGTAAAGATATTTATTTTCTTTCCTTAGCCTAAAATCCAGAAAATAGACTCCCTTGCATTTAATTGCTGGAATAGTTTGCCTCTGAAGGGTTTATAGCACTTGGCTTATTTTTTATTTTTCATTTTTAATGAAATAAAAGATTGTTTTCTTCTCTTTCTGAGATCTTAAGCAACCTACTATTTACCATAAAATAATCATTTGAAAATTTAAAGCCCTCACATAGTAAAAAGAAACAATATAGCTACAGAAGGGTATATTTATTTATTTAATGAATTTGAACTGGTTAAAGCTATTTTTGTCAGTGTTATTACTTCAATTTTCCATTTTTCTTACTGTATAATTATATAGTAATTATCTTATATTATTATTCTTTACTAAATTTAGATCTGTCCATCTTTTGATTCATCACAAAGCCTCTTGACAAGTGGAAATATGCAGGTAAGAAAGTATTATAGCTTCAATGGACTGTGAGAATAGACTTGAGAGACAGAAAAAGGAGAAGCCAAAACAATAGTCACACAGATATATTTCAGCCCATGAAAGGAATGAGAGGTGGAAAGAGTCTTAGAAGGACCCTTCCTAGTTCTTGGGAAAGTAAAAGCAGAGGAAGGGAGAAGTGCTTTCAGACTTGCAGGTTTTTGTTACTCTAACTTACGATAAAGGTAATGTTAATACTCATAGTTTTGATTTCTTGTCTGAACCATTTTGAAAAGCTGAAATACCTAATTTACATGTTCTAAGAGGAGACCATATTCTTAGTCTGAGAATGTGATATAAATGCTAACCAGTTTGGATTTCCTCAAAATATAAGATCAGCTCTAATTTGCATCTAAATATCTAAATCTACTTCTTCCCCCATAGAATCTAGTCCTTCTCACAACTGAAGACCTTCCTCAAAACAGAAATGATATTTTCTGCAATGCTGCAGATTGACATCAGTAAAATAGAGATTAATGCTGAGAGTGACATTGCCGTTATCTTGTCCAAATAGAACTCATACTCATACTAATTCTCTCATATGTGTTTCATTTCATGCTACCACCAACTTGTAACTCAAAATCTCTCTATATAAATTGTAAAATAAGAAATGTTTCATTATTGCAGATGTATTTGAGATAACCCATGCATTATTTTACATGAATAATCTGTTATTTCACAAGAGGTATCTCACATGTTAGTGTTTTAAGCTAAAATGCAATTTCTGGCAGTTAAATAAGTTCAGTATAATTTCAGTTGAGAAATTGTAACTCCTTTTTAACAACTGCCTGTATACAATTAAATATCTAGAAATTTAATACATCATAAATAGTACCTACTGTTGATAGGCATATGTAAAATTGTTAAATAGTAATTTGGAACTATTTGAACAAGCACACATAAAATGTATTTATAACTTTCACATAATCCAAATGGGAAGTATAAATTGGACTCCCACAGAGCTACATGTGCCTACAGCTATTACAATTTTTATAAATTACTTAGAATATGGAATGGTTTACTCGTCAAATTGCAGATCATATCAGATAGGAAAATGGGGTAATACTGAAGAGACAAAAGTTACAATTCAAATTTACCTTGTCAGACTTGAATCCAACAGGATAATGTCCAGCTGTGTTAGATTTCACATCTGGGTAAGAGAAATCAAGTGCATAGCTATAAGATAGCTTAGTGCCATGATGGTGAACCTATGGCACACGTGCCACAAGAGGCATGCAGAGCCCTATTTGCCAGCACGGCAGCCCTCAGCTCAGCATGTGTGTGGCGGCCTGTTGATTTTCAGCCTTTTGGCTGGCCAGGGGAGACCATTTTCGCCTTCCCCAGTCTTTAGGAAAGCCTCCTGAGCCTAGAAAGAGTGAAAAACAGGCCTAATGAGCCAACCGGAAATTTGTTCCCAAACTTCCAGTTTGCCTGTTGGGCCATTTTTCGCCCTCCTCAGGCTTCAGGAAAGCCTCCAGAGCCCAGAGAGGGCAAAAAACAGGCCCAACGAGGCAACTGGAAATTTGTTCCCAAATGTCCGGTTTGCCTTTTGGGCTGTTTTTCGTCCTCCCCAGGCTTTAGGAAAGCCTCTGGAGTATAGAGAGGGCAAAAAACAGGCCCAATGAGGCAACTGGAAATTTGTTCCCAAACTTCTGGTTTGCCCGTTGGGCCGTTTTCACCCTCCCCAGACTTCAGGAAAGCCTCCAGAGCCTAGAGAGGACAAAAAACAGGCCCAATGAGCCAATTGGAAATTCATTCCCAAACTTCCGGTTTGCTCGTTTGGCCACCTTTCTCCCTCCCCAGGCTTCAGGAAAGCCTCCAGAGCCTAGAGAGGGCAAAAAACAGCCCCAACGTGTCAACTGGAAATTTATTTCTAAACTTGTGAAAAGCCTCTGGAGCCTGGAGAGGGCAATATCCTCCCCCCCCCCCGGTGTGTGGCGGTTGCTTGTGCATGCGCAGTGGGGGGGTTGCTTGCGCATGCGTGGTGGTGGTCGCTCATGCATGCGCAGGTGTATAGAAAAAGGTTTGCCATCACTGGCTTAGTGACAATGAGATCTAGGATTATTCTGATATGAAGTTGGAACAGACCTTTCAAATCATTAATTCTCTTCTTCATTCTAACTCACTCTCACATTCATCATATTTATATTGCCACCTATCTCATAAAATAAGATTTTGGGTGGCATACAATAAAAAAGAAGCCATAAAGTAAGCAATAGTAAAAACATTTTACAATTTTTAAAAAAATCATCAATATTTACTATTAACAGAGTAGTTGAGAGGATTTGATGTCAAAGACCATACAGCAACCTCACTAGTCCATCATTATCTTTAAGATTTCCAAGCCTATTGACATAATCATATATTGAGACAGTTTTGGAAGGTTGACAAGAGTGGTGCCAGTCTTAGTTTGGGCAGCTGCTCTGCCAGAAAAGACTCTCACGTCTCCCCAGATGTAGCTCTTGCAGATGACCCTTGCAGCATATCTCTTCCGCAGGACCTGATGGAACAAGTAAAATGTATTTATTCCCTATTGTGAAGGGCTTTAAAAGTTAAAACCAGCATCCTGAATTGGATTCAGAAGTAAACTGGCAACAAATGCAGCTCATGGAGTAGTGGTTTAACAGACATGCTTGAGTTGGGCATAACAGAAGACTGAATAATTGCCATAAATATCTTTTTTAAAAAGGAGATGGACTGTTCTTTGTAGAAACTGAAATCAGACAAAGATCAATATACTGAAATTTGAAAAGAAGGAATATTTAGACAGAATTTCTTGACAATAAAAGTTTTTAAGCAATGAAATATCATTGTTAGAGGTTTTAAAATGGGCTGCAAGACCACCTAGCAGATGTGTTTAGTGAATTCCTTCACTAAAAAGGGTTGGGGCAGATGGCCTATAAGATTCCTTGTAATTTGTAATCTTGACATTATTTAAAATCAGTACACATACGAATGGTTACATTTGTGATGCTTCAGCATAAATGAGTTTGGTGGAATTCATATAAGGGCATATTTTAAATGGAGGAAATAGATATGTAAGGAAAATGGAAATTGCATGAAATGTTTCATTCCATATGTCTTTGCTAGATTTTAATTTGTCCTCAAAGAAAGATATTTTCTTTTACTTAAAAATAAATATTATCTGCATAGTCTTTAAAAGAAAATTACTTGTCTTAAAATATTTTTTTTAATTTATAAGGTATTGGAAGACGTATTTAACAGGCCTATAAATTCAACATGGACTGCAGCATGCGAATCAAAAATCATGGATAATTTTATATTAGCTAAAATGCATTTTATTATTAGTTTATCTGCAACATTATATTGTATTCCTGAAAAAGTAATGAGGACAGCATATTCTACTGACTCTGATACTTTAAGAAAGTCAGGAAGAAATACTGAAGCAATCATGAAAGGTATTCATAAGATAAACTAAAAGTTTTATTTTAACTATATGATATATGAAGCTTAAAATATTTTGAAAAAGGTTGTGCTTGCTTAACACCTTCCCCAAAGGTGCTCCTCCCCTCCCCTCCCCTCCCCAAACACCAACTGGAGCATCTTGATTTTTTTAAAAAAAATGTTTCACATTTCATTTAAGAAGCTTTTTCGCTTCTAACTAATTGATGGGGAATAGAAAGGATTTATACTGTTTGCAATTAGCCAGTCATTAACATCTGAGACCTCCTGGAGGTTAATCTGGGTCCTCAGGATCACATGAATCAGAGTGCAAATGAGTTTTGGGGCTGCTGAAAGGGCTGCATTGTAAACAGGAACTAAGTAATGTCCTATTCCTCCCTCACTATTGAGAGGGGCTTTTCAATTTTTGGGAAATAAAACAGCTACTACACAAATGCATGGCACAACATAGGATAATCAATGCATCGGGACAGAATTAAATAATTATTTTGCACTTGAAAGAAAAGGGCCACTCCAAGGTCACGTTCTGGATATTGGTTTTTCATTTCATTGGTTTGAAAAAGGAGTTAGGGAGACTATCTATGTTAAAATTAACAAGCTATCTCTCAACAGAGGGGTAAGGATAGGATGCCCCTATATAGTTCCTGTTTACAATGTGGTCTTTTCAGCAATCTAAAGAGGATTCCATCCTCGCCATGCCTGTCATGCAACCCTTTGCACCCTTGTACACCCTCCCTAACCTGCATCCCATCTCTTGCACACCCTCACCCATGGTGCCTCTCACACACTCCCTTGCATCCCTGCACATGTGTTATACATTATACATGAGAATAGTAAATATACTTGAGAGTACCAGAGAAATAATTCATTTGTAATCACTTTTTCGCTATTTTAAGAGTTACATTGTTTTGAGTGCTTCCATTGGAATTGATCATGTATGTTATTTTTACAAAGGTTATGTATTACCTCCATCATATACAAGTGGAAAACGAGAATCTGTCTTGATTGTAGAACTTGAAAGGAACAAAGACATGTTAAATACTTCTATTCTGAAGGTAATTATAAGTATATGTTAAATGAACATCCACAGTCAACATTAATAACATTTTTTATTTTTGGAAAGCAATTTATTTTACATAAACTAAATGATTTCCATACAAGAAAATACACTTTTGTATTTTTTGTATTGAAGTCCAGGAATTTGAGCACAAGGTTCTATGAAGAACAGAGGAGTAAGAATACAAGAAATAGGAAAAAACAAAGATATTTTTGTGAAGTATGATACAAGCTGATGAACTAGGTTGAATATTGGAATAAATGTTATCCTAAACCAAATTATTGACTCTTCAGGGAGGACAGACATTGAAATAGTGGGAGATTTCAACTACCTTAACTCTATTGAAAAATTAACTTGGCCAAGATTGTAAAATCCCCAAATTTCTCTCAATAGTCTTGCTGATTATTTCATTTTCCAGAAGACTGAAAGAGGATTACCCTTATTAGATTTAATAAAGAGAGGGCTGAAGAGTTAAAAATAGTGATAACTCTGTGAAGAAGTGACCATGTCAGCTTGAGTTTCAAACTAATTCAGATATAGAAATTGAAATATCATTATACATGTACATTAGACTTTAGAAAAAAGCAGCAACTTAGAGAAATACTAGATAAGATCCCATGAGTAAAGGGAGCATAGGAAGATTGGAAATTCCTGAAAGGTAAGGTGATGGAAGCAGATTTGTATGATTAAAAAATAGGGACAAGACATTTTAAGAAACTAAGGAGCTTTCAACTGAGTTAAGAATTAAAAGAGATATGTATAGGAAATGGAGGAGGAATCCCTATGGAGGTTTGTTGTATCTTGAAAATAATCAAAAGGACTGAGTAACTACAGTTAGGTCAGTCTGATGTTAATACAAGGCAAAACTTTGAATATGATTATTGAACAGTCAATTTTTAGCATTTAAAGAATATTCTACTTGGCAGGAGCCAGCAAGGTTCTATCAAAAATAAATCATGCTAAACAATCCTGGTCTTTTTATTTTTTCCAATCTAATGAAAAATTGGAGAAAAATACACAACGGCTGTTAGACTATCTGCCAATCCGTAAGCAGAACAACTTAAAAACTGAACAGAGCTGAAACAAACATAGTATGGTTGAATAAGATGGCAAAAGAAGATAGATTTGAAAATGGTGACCACTTTAGTTGACCATGGTAATGTGGGGAATATAATATACATTGATTTCCAAACATCATTCAACAAGGGTGAGGGAAGTTGGAAGTTCAAACATGTGAAAAATAAATAAAAATCTATCCTTAGATTTTAATATAAACGTTAAGGGAAAAGGGTGGCCTATAAGTGTTCAATAAAACTCTAAAACTCTAAAAAATTAAATATTAACATATATAATTTAATATAACGTACCAAAATATGTGTGGACTTACAGAAATGATGACTCTTGGGTCACAAAGAGCCAGAAGCAATTGAATGTCTAAACAACATTTGAAAAAACAAAGACATGAGTATAGGATAGGAAAGCTGAAATGGTAAACAAATTGATGCGTAATACTTTCTTTGGTGGAAATGACCAATTATTCATTCTTTTTGGCAGGCAAATATCTAAGAAGGGTGGACAGTGAAACCTACTTTTGTTTTAATATTCATTTTCCTAAAGTCTTACTCATACAGCATAATAAACAGATTCAATTTTCACAAAACTCTTTAAAGATTTTATTGGCTCAGTTTTAATGCAAAGTATTGAAAAGTTGCATTCAAATGCTGTGGTTGAAAAATTAAATCAACACCCAGGACCTTAACCTACAAAAGAACAGGTTTATATATAATAAACTAGCTGATGACCTGGTGTTGCCTGGGTATTTATAAACGTTGAAGCGTTTGTCTGACAGGGAGCCATTTGTCTGACGGGCCTTTCTTTCCCCATAGTCCCATTCCCATCATCCCTTCCCCCTTCCATCCGCTCCTCTTTCCTGCCCTATCTATGATCCTTGGAGGCATTGGTGCAGCAATGAAATCTATTATGGAATACAATAAAATAAGCATAAGGAAAAAACAAATTTTTTTGGTTAAAATTATGAAGTAATTACGTCCGTTTAGAAATTTAAAGCTTTATTAGAAATTTTATTTTTCACCTCTTCCCAACAGAGCTACACTATTCCTGAACTGTCTGGTGCGCTCGGTATAAAAATGCAGCGCCCTTTTGACATCCCAAAAATGTCAGAGCCGTTCTTTAGAGTGGACAGGGTTCGGGGCACAACAATAGGAAAATCTGCCACTACCACCCNCTGGGACTGGAACATAAATCCCTGAGCTGGGCCATGCTGCGCCGCCTCCACCACTGCTGAAATAGGCTGGGTCTCCTCTGTGGTCTCCATACCTGTTTCGCCTTAGTTGGGGTGGTCCCATCCTTCGCACGATGATTATGGGCAAAGGACAATCCTTGGAATACGGGCCGAAGCTCTGAGGTGGGGGCGTGCTCAATCAAAGGCCTCTGTACTGGCCTAATCAGGCTCCCTTCACTTCGTAGGACTATTGTGTGAGGGAGAACTATGCCTGAGTTGGGGTGAAGGATGATCCTTGGAACATAGGGTGAAGCTGTTTCCTGTGAGATTGGGCCGCTGCGGTGAGTTGGGGGATGGGCAATCCGCTTAGGCCAAGGCGTGCTTAAACAAAGACCTCTGTACTGGCCTAATCAGGCTCCCTTTGTTTCATAGGCATACTGTGTGAGGGAGTATGGTCAATCAAAGGCCTCTATACTGGCCTAATCATGCTCCCTTTGCTTCATAGGCCTACTGTGTGAGGGAAACGTATGCCTGAGTTGGGGTGAAGGATGATCTTGGGAACACAGGCCGAAGCTGTTCCCTGCAAGATTGGGCCGCTGCAGTGAGGTGGGGGCAGGCGATCTGCTTAGGCCATGCACGCTCAGTCAAAGTCCTTTGAACTGGCTTAATCAGGCATCCTTCATAGGCCTACTGCTGTACTGGCCTAATCAGGCTTCCTTCCCCCTCCCATGACATCACAAACAATTGCTGCTCTAGGACGCCACACTCGCTCTCCCTAAATGCCCAGGCTTTCCAGAGTTATTTCTAATGTTGGATTTTCCCCCTTATCAGAGGGAGCCCCCTTGTGGAGTACTGTGAAGCCATTACCATGGCAACTCCACTCCGCTGTATAGTAGAAGCCATTTTACAACAGCACGGTAGAAGCCATTACACCCTGAGGGGTGTTAGGGGTGTCTTACTTCCACTGTATTTGTCTCCAGAGGGTAAGTCATCTGTGTGCCAAGTTTGGTTGGAATTGCTCAAGGCGTTCCAGATTTATGCTGGGAAATACATATATACATACATCCTTTTTATATAAATATAATATAATATAATATAATATAATATAATATAATATAATATAATATAATATAATATAATATAATAT